TATTAAAACCATGTTTTGTTATATATAGGTCAACTGTCTGGTTAGCTACCTATACATTGGAGGGAAAGGAGTACCCAATATTGATCATAAATAAATGCAGAATGCTTGTGTATCACGCCGTTCCACATAAACATTCGTTTCCTCGCATAGAGAAGAACGCAAAGCTTGATTGGAAGTGATCAAATGAAGCTGGTTACGTAAACAGTGCCTAGACGAGTTTTGTTTGAAATCAATCTTGTTTAGCTGGTGCAGTTCGTCGTGAACGTCATGAGCTTGCCTGTCACAATCAAGCGCCATTTATTTTATTTTATTTTATTTTTGAAAGAAAACAAACGCAGAGGACTCCACAGTGACGTGGTGCATAGCGCACAAGGTGCATTTGAATACCTCCTTTTTTTTTCTGAATTTCTGGAGCTCTTCAGTACGGCATCTCTCATAATCATATAATAGTTTGGGATGTTAAACTCCACATATCAATTATCTTTTTTCTTGCTGGCTTTTTTGTAACCTATACCCCGTAAAGGAATCTACATAAGGAAATATACGATGAGCGATGACTCACGAATAGAAACACAGTTCGCTATGTCATCGTCGATGGAAGAACAAAAAGATACGAGGTAGCGTCCAGGCATCACTTTCTTATGCGGGATCATTGTGAAAACGGGTTAGGAGCAAGTTTTTTTTCTCGAACTCCTCTATGGATACTCCTCAATAAAAAGCCTTTTCTTTTTTTATTTTTCCGTCACCATTGTACGCTTATTTTAAAAGGCTTCACATGTATTCTTATGTAACTGTCGTCACTGAACCGTTGCTTTTTCGAGAGCAGAAAGGGAAAAAAAATCAGCGCTCTTCTCTATTCAGATTTCTCACCCTTTCTTTAGAAGTGCGTTGCACAGCAACTGACGCCTCATACGGTAAGCAAAATGTTTATAAAGAAAGAACTCTTATGAGACGACAGAGCAGTGCGAAATGGAACAAGGTTTTGGCCTCATAGGCTCGATATCTTTCTTGAAATTTTGCACAAATATCTGCGAGAAATAAGTAAGGTACCTATGACGTGTCGTCACTGTTGGTTCAGAAGCTCAGTGTGTCTTCAAGAGCTCTCAGCACATCGTGATCCACCGCGGTGGTCTAGTGGCTAAGGCACTCGGCTGCTGACCCGCAGGTCACGGGATCGAATACCGGCCGCGGCGACCGCCTTTTCGATTGGGGCGAGAATGCTTGAGGCCCAGGATTTAGGTGCACGTGAAAGACCACCAGGTGGTCGAAATTTCTGGGGGCCTCTAGTACGGCGTCTCTCATTATCATATGGTGCTTTTGAGACGTTAAACCACAGATATTATTAAAGTACTGAAATATTGAGGGACTCTTTGTCAGCGGCACTCGAGTTCGCACAGCTGAATTCTCCGGCAGCGTCTCATTCTCCGGCAGCGCCTCCTTCTCCGGCAGCGTCTCCGTGCTTGCTCGGGAAACGCTGCACTGCGTTAACGTGGACTCCGAGCCCTGAGCGCGTCCACTCGACGCGGTTGCCCATTGGTTCAACGAACATTCAAAAAACAAAAAGTGAGCCTTCGAGCCGGGACCGCATAGCAACGCATGGCCAGAGAGGGGAGAACGAGCCGAGATTCGAGTCGGGACCGCAGAGCAACGCACCGCAGAGCGAGCCGAGACGCGAATGGCGTCGGACGTATCCGATCGAGCTCCTTCACCGAGTCCAGTTTCCTTATACATGTAACAACTGCCGATTCACCTGTAACTTAGCACAATACAGTTTTTCTTAAAATTTGAGCGTTGCCTTGACTACATTCATTTGGACATCCCTGACATCTTGTACTGTCTTTCTTTGTCTGTGCTTTGTCGCGCATTTCGAGCCAGAGCGACAAAGCTTGCCCCTCCAGAACCCCTCAAGGTTATTTATCATTGCTAAAGAAGGCGGCTGGCGCGTTTCCTTTCCGTCGCGATATCAGCTGCCCTAGAAATATTCGTTCGCACATTGAGCTCCTGACCCGCAAGGAAATATTGTCGATTTAGACTAAATACGGACCATCTCGGCTACAGCCAAAATGCGCGTGGAATGCCCATCTAATTGCTGCGGCACACGCATCGAGAAAACGTGTTTCCGCTGGGTATTTTGCGATCACGTTTTCCAGGCGTACTAAGAACGCCTTACATGTTCTTTGGAAGGTGAAAGTGTGTGCGTATGTGTGTGTACGTGTGTGTATGTGTGTATCTGTGTGCGTGCGTGCGCGCGTGGGTGTGTGTGTTGGTGTGTGTGTGTGTGCGTGCGTGTGTGTATGTGAGTGCGTGTGTGTGTGTATGTGTGTGTTTGTGTGTGTGTGCGCGTGTTTGTGTGTGTGCGTGCGTGTGTGTGCGTGTGTGTGTGTGTTTGTGTGTGCGTGCGTGTGTGCGTGCGTGTGTGTATGTGTGTGTGTTTGTGTGTGTGTGTGTGTGCGTGCGTGCGTGTGTGTCTGTGTGTGTTTGTGTGTGTGTGTTTGTGTGTGTGTGTGTGTTTGCAAGTGTGCGTGCGTGCTTGTGTGTGTTGTTGCGGTTCAAAGGAAGGTCGCTGATGGCATCCCACCGCTTCCACCAGTTGTTGCGGTTCAAAGGAAGGTCGCTGATTGCATCCCACCGCTGCCACCAGTTGTTAGGAATGAAGGGAGTTTACTGATGGCATCCCACCGCTGCCACCAGTTGTTGCGCGTCGCGGCGACCGCAGTCTGCGGGTAGCGGGGCCGATCGCCGTCGCTCCGTCAAGCCAAGGACTAGGGGAGAGCTTTGAGCAAACTTAACGGATTTATTTACATCTTTACAGTGAGTTGTCGAAAAGACAGAAGAGAAGAGAAGAACTAGTGGTTCCACAAACCACGAGCGTGGTGGTTGAACTTTACATAGTTCAGAGCGACGTCCAGCACTCTGCCGCGTCGTTTTATGCCCTGTCAGGCTCCTCTTCTCCGAGTCGACCACCAATCACGCACACACAGGTGAGGGGGGGCGAGCATGCAAGGTCCACGTGAACACTGCACTGTGGTGGCGCCAGCAGGGCTCTTCCTCGTCGTGTGTGTGCCTTTAGTTGAAAGTGCCCACAATCCTGGCTGCATACTTCAAAGGGTCCGCCGATTTTGTTCGCTCAATTAGCGGGGCGATCCACGGCAGCCGCCGCGGTCTCCCCCAGGAAGACGCCGTCCCTGTTGTCCTCTCTGTGGTGTCGCGGCGTCTTGGCGACACTACGTCTCGTCCTCCGGCCAGCAGGGACAATGCCTGGCGGGCACAGGCAGTCGGCCGGTCGGCTACTTGACGGGGGATTAAAGAAGCGCCGCTCCGCCGTCAGCTCTGTCGCCGGTCACGCCAGCTTTTCCGTTGCCCGATGAGTCGCCGAGTCCATTAGTCACGCTGCTGCTTGAAGGGACGACAAAAGAGTCCGCACTTGAAGGACGGGAACTCACCTCTGCCCGCCGCCTGGTCGGGATAATCGCTCAAATACTTTACAGCGTCCGTCGGACTGGGCGCCGAAGGGATTGAGGGCCTCACCAGTGGATCGGCCCACGCACAAAGGCGTCTGCTCAGACGAGTTTCCAGGCCAAACTTAACAGCGCCGTCTCGTGGAGTCGGCCTCTGTTGCTTCCTCCGTCCAGCCGTGGCGAGACTGTCTTTTTGGCACTAATCCGGCGTGGCGAATGACCCGCTGGGTCAAGGCATAGCTTGATCGCTACAGTGTGCGTGCATGTGTGTGTGTGTGTTTGTGTGTGTGTTTGTGTGTGCGCGTGTGTGTGTGTATGTGCGTGTGTGTGTGTGTGTGTGTGTGTGTACACTGTTGGCGCAGAAACAATCACTACGCAGAAATGGGAAAACCCCCGCACATAGCGCCGAAGAGAGAGACTTTTTTACAAGAAGCACATAAATATATGCTGAAAAGTATGGTAATATGCATGCACCACCGATTGAATGCCACGAGGGGATATGGAAACAAACATGTAATCAAACAAGCGCACTACGTCACAGTCGTATTGACATCATCTCCTCAAAATCAAATATTTTAACGCTCAAGCATCGTATGGCAATGTGACTGTTGTATATAAACTGCGTCCATAAGTTCTTTTGTGAAATATACTTTCTGCAATTACACAGACGTCTGGCTAAATAACGTTTGAAACTACCAATGCCACTCCTCTCTTTCTTTCTTTCTTTCTTTCTTTCTTTCGTTTTAATCAGTGCCAGATAATCTGTGTGGGAGGCTGAATTTTTATTCACGCCCTACCTTGTATTCAAATTTGTAACACTACGAAGAGAAATGAAGCCATGCGCTTATGCTCATCTGCAAAAGTTTCGTGGATGAACGATTAAGTCCCGTTTGGTACGCTCGTATGTTAGCCGAAAATTTGCAAGCTTCCTGTGCATATGAACATTGAGGCTTTCAAAGTAAGACGCTGGGAATTGGACTCCCATATACCTCTCGGGGGAACCGCATACGCCCGAGTGCGATCGTTGTTCGAGAACGCCAGATTTCATCAAACAATTTTTTTCTTGTCTACAAATTCATTAGAATAAAGGACAACTGCAGCATGCAACGCTGTGTGCCGAATTACTTCGTGTTCCCCAAAAGGCGGGAGTCTCATAGTAACTTTTCTATATTCTGCCGCATGCGGTAACGTCCGTTCAGACCGAATTCCGCGTGCGCCTTCGCATCTGCACACGAACTGCTTTGGTACAAAGCATTTGCTTTGCAATTAGAGGAGCGAAGGGGCTGCTAACAAAGACCACTCAATTGATTGATCAGTCAAGGAGTCACTTCTAAGTTGGAACGAAGCGTACACGTCTGACAAGACGATTGAATAGGCTTTATTTCGGTCACGGCGATGTTTCGGAGATTTCTTAGAACAAAAAAAAAAAAAAGCGACTCCCCGTCGACCGAGCGCCATCCCGTAGCGCAAGCAGACAAGGCTCCGTTCGACCGCGCGCGACTTTTGCGGCATTCAAGAGAAAAGCGCTCGCGCCGGTGCGTGCACACAGGCGTTGGCCCCTGCGGAGAGTCACGGGGCTGACATCGCGGCAGCGAGCTCGGGCTGTTCGGGCCGCGTGATTGACGTCGCAAGCACGCGGCGCGCGGCGACCGCAGCTGTCGGCGGTCGCTGTACTACAACTGCTCGAACCGCCCCCGGCGAGCGCGCGCCCCTACGCTCCGAAGACGGACACGCATTGCTAGGCGGCCGCCGCAATTTCTCCAACCTCGCGTGCAACGTCTTCGTATGTTTTGCTCCGCGGCCTTCGCTCGCCTCCTTTCCTGGCGGACTCAGTGGCTGCCATTCTTCGCGCCGAGTTGTCGGCAAGTGTATCTGTCCTGGACACGTTCCACTCGCCCGAAGGACCGGACTGTTTTCACTGTGCGGTGGCCACGGTGAGTCAAACGTCGTAGTGTGCGCGGAAACGTGCGGAAGATGTCGCTTCGCGTTCGTTGGTTGGCGAGCGCCTCGCTTGTACTACGAGCTGGCCTTTGTCAACAGGGGTGACGTTGCCATGAAAAGGAGGCCAATCGCTGTCACTTTCGCGAGTGGTTACGTGAAATAACGATTGTGTGGAAACCGCTGAACATTTCTGTACTTGAAAGCCGCTTTACAATCGAGCACCAAACAAATTACTTCTACTTTTTTTTTGTATTGCGCCCTCAAAGCCAAGGGAGATTCATTTGTCTCAGTCTGTGGCAGTGTGTTGATAGCAAGAATGCTTGGCACAAGCGAGAACTCGAAGGACAACTTGTTCTTTTCTTTTAAATATTACTCCTTGAGGTCTGTTTCTCATGCATGCGCAAAACTGTCACTGTTTATACATTTGCGTTAGACGAAATGCCAAAGCCAATTATGAAATGTCGTAAAATGATCAGGAAAAAAAGGGGGGGAGGGAATTTGCGAGTTGGCACGCACCTATTGGTCCAGCTTTCTGAGTATTTTCTCTTTGTCAATCACTTTTTCCCTCTATCACTATTTCATTGCGGAAATTCGGTGTCAAATACGATACATATATACTTAGCGCTGTCGCAAACCAACATGGAACATCGTTGCACTGCGTATGTGCGTGTTTTTTTTTATTGATATGTAGCAGCAACTAACCTGACAGTGCCTCAGGGTCATGTTACGAAAGAGTGTGTGTGTGTTATTCATGTAGCAGGACGAAGTGAGAAAATTGGAACGTACGATATTTTGTTGCCCTCGTCAGCATTATCAGCGTTCGTATTATTGTTAGGAATTTCCTTCAGGTGAGATCATGCTGCTAGATTGTTCCAGTAATTGGAAAACCGTCAACATGTGCTTATGTTGAAGGTTTTTCCAGACATGTTTTGATGTCCGAGCAGGGAGGAATACGCCTTTTTAGTGCTATTGCTTCGCGGCGTCGTTGTCAGATTCGGTCGTGCAGCTGCTGCTGGAAATAAAGCGAATCGAGTATTATTTGGCCGCCGCCCAGCCACAGTCATTGTTTCAGTGTCGTTTCATCACGACAGGTGTCAGCACATGGCCAGCGCCGATGGCAAATCAGGCGTGCAGAAATACATAGTGCTACAAAGCTTGCCCACTACGCGGCGTTATTTTCATTTCAGCTAGCCAAAACTTGTTCTCTTTCTCTCAATGCCCGAGCTCGAGGTCTCTAAAACAGACATAACTCTTTTAACACGTCTTAAAAACACCTGTGATAAATACAGGTAAACACTCCCTCCTATTGATGCACATGGTATGTTGCTTTCATTCTCATGGTAATAAAATGACGCTACACATGAAAACTGTTGTAGAATCTTTCAGGCGTCTATACGTATCTTCGCAATAAGTGAATGTGCGAGCGGATATCACGCACTGAGAGTATAGTTCGTGGCTGTTGTGTGTTTGGTTATCTTGAACTATGTGACATTCTTTTTTTAGCTATCTCACAATAATTGTAGTTGCACTGCGCGATCCGTGACTTGTGTTCGGCATCCAGTGTTTTTACTCGATACTGTTTGAACAACTCTTCTTATTCGCTTACACTTTCACATATTTATTTTGATGTCATATGAGCTCGTTTTTTACTCGTTTAGATTTTTGCATGCCAGATTTAAGTGGAGCAAGTGCGAAATATGGTGACTGCCACCTGAGGTGACTTCTTTTTTTTTTTTTCGAAGCCGCACTCTGGCGCGTGGGATTATTATAGGGTGAAAGGCCCCGCCTAATCCGGCACTATATGGCCTCCATCTATCGGCGACAACGACACTTTACTCTTCAAATAAATGCAGCACATCTCTCACACGACCCACTCTTTCACTCACATAATTGGTGCTAGTCACTTGAGCCCTTTGGACCATGTGCGTTTTATGCAGAGAAACCGGGAAATGGAGAAAACCCATAACACTAGCACGTCCTTTCTGACTTTCAGCAAGCACCATTTTTATTGTTGCCAATGTTTTCATCTCTGCGCGGACCTTATCTGGCGACTGAATCGTGAATGTTTTTCTATGAGCATTTTTCACAAAAATAAAGCCCAATTTGGATTGACTTATTAGGTAAAAAGGGGCTGTAGTTCAGTGGAATGAAAATAGAGTAAAACAAAAGCGGGTCTATAGTTATAGACCGGCTCGTTGTTGGCGCGTACGCTTTAAACCTGAAGTTATATATCACTGACTAACTCGAAGGTCCAGCTCCTAAAAGAGCTGGTCGCATGCTATAGAGCACTATAGGCACATTAACAGTGTTTCCGCGGTACCCGAATGTCCGTTCACACATGCTTAAATATGACCATGTTACAATGTACGCACTGGAAACTGGAATTTTCCTCTGTCATACAACAATAACTACTGCACCTGCCCACTATTATATGAGCCCCACCGTGGTGGTCTAGTAGCTAAGGTGCTCAGCTGCTGACCCGCAGGTTGCGGGATCGAATCCCGGCTGCGGCGGCTGCATTTCCGAGAAGGCGGAAATGTTGTAGGCCCGCGTGCTCAGATTTGGGTGCACGTTACAGAACCATAGGTGGTCGAAATTTCCGGAGCCCTCCACTGCAGTGTCTCTTATAATCATATGGTGGTTTTGGGACGTTAAACCCCACATATCAATCAATCAATCACTATTATGTGAATCGACAACAAAAAAATCACCAAATCAACTGCACCTACTTCAGCTGTTTCTAACGAACTACCATTGAAGCTGTGAGATTCGCGACTGCCATACTGTCACCTGCAACTCACGGGGCATCGGAAATGTACTTCTCGGCGGAAGATGATGCGTGTTGATGCTGACTTTTAAATGCGAAGCACTTCTTAGTGAAATCAGACGACTTTGAATCTATCTATCTATCTATCTATCTATCTATCTATCTATCTATCTATCTATCTATCTATCTATCTATCTATCTATCTATCTATCTATCTATCTATCTATCTATCTATCTATCTATCTATCTATCTATCTATCTATCTGTCTGTCTGTCTGTCTGTCTGTCTGTCTGTCTGTCTGTCTGTCTGTCTGTCTGTCTGTCTGTCTGTCTGTCTAGTCTATCTATCTATCTATCTATCTATCTATCTATCTATCTATCTATCTATCTATCTATCTATCTATCTATCTATCTATCTATCTATCTATCTATCTATCTGTTTATCTATGTCCTTATCTATCTATCTATCTGTTTATTTATGTCTTTATCTATCTATCTATCTATCTATCTATCTATCTAACTGTTTATCTATGTCCTTATCTATCTATCTATCTATCATCTATCTATCTATCTATCTATCTATCTATCTATCTATCTATATATCTATCTATCTATCTATTCTAGCTGCCTACCATTTCTTACTTTCCTGGCCGTTTCGATGATGGTATCTATACCAAAATTGGTATGGCATAACATGACTGTATGACGAGCATAAGTGTTTAGTCACTACACGAAAGTCGTTGCATGTATGTCATGAATGTCACGAATTACATTAATGATCTTGCTGCTCTTGCGGTGGTTTTGTTGCCATAACATATTGCCAAATTGGTATGGTATGACATTACTTCATGGTGAACATGAGTGACAGAACCTAACGTGGAAATTATGACATGCATGTCATGCAAGTCATGACTACAAACCATGCTCATGGGGCACTCGATGTTGTTTCGCTAGCTTCACATATACCAAATTGGGTATTACGTGACGCGAACGGACGATAAATGTTAATGAGACGACCAAACATGATAATCGTGGCATGCGTGTCATGTAATACATGACTACGTGCTAGCCCATAGTGAGCTCGCGGCTGTTTCGTTAGCTTCACACACACACACACACACACACGCACACGCACACGCACACGCACACACACACACACGCACGCACGCACGCACACACACACACACACACACACACACACACACACACACACACACTAAAGAACCCCAGGTGGTCAAAATTTCCGGAGCCCTCCACTACGGCGTCTCTCATAATCATATGGTGGTTTTGGGACGTTAAACCCCACAAATCAATCAACACACACACACACACACACACACACACACACACACACACACACACACACACACATATATATATATATATTTATATAAATATATATATATATATATATATATATATATATATATATATATATATATATACACAAAATTTGATGATACGTGACGTGAATTGATGACGAAGGTATATGATTGATAATGACATGCGTGTCATCTAAGAACATGACAACATATCACGGTCATGGTACGCTCCCGGTCGTTTCGCTAGCTTCACATATACCGAGTTTGGTATTACGTGTCGTGAATGGACGAAGAATGTAAATGACATGTCCAAACATGATAATCATGGCGTGTGTGTCATGTAAACTTGACTACATGCTATGCTCATAGCGTGTTCGTGGCCGTTTCGCTAACTTCACATGTACCATTTTTATTATTACTTGACGTGAATGGATGACGAACACAAATGCCAATCGCAAGCATGATAATCATGACATGGAAGTCATGTACGGCATAATTTGCGTCCGCCTCGTAACGTTGCGCTGATTTTAAAGTGACATGTCAACCTTCCTTATTCGGGCTTCGCATATGATCGATTCCCACTGTACGTGGGATCTGTCTATTTTTTTATTGATGTGTTTTCACAGCGATTTAATATGAGTTATGCGTACTGATTATGCCAGAAAGCAGAACGCTCAGAACGTCTCTGATACCATGGCGGGATTGGAGAATTCCTGCTGCGAGTTTCCGTACATCGATATGTGAGGTTTAACGTCCCAAAACTACCATATGATTATGAAAGACGCCGTAGTGGAGGGCTCCGGAAATTTTGACCACCTAGGGTTCTTTAACGTGCACACAAATCTGAGCACACGGACCTACAACATTTCCGCCTCCATCGGAAATGAAGCCACCACAGCCAGGA